AGGAAGCATAAGTATCATGGGCCCAAGAGTACGGATATATGAGTGTATCAAGTAAACAACTAAAGTTGAAGTTATATAATGCCAGAACCACCACCAAGATACCATGCGAAATCACCACCACCACCACCATCGTTATCGTCATCGTCATCGTCATCATCATCATCATCATCATCATCATAATAATAATAATAATAGGGATTACTTGGTCGAACAACAACAAAACAATGATACTATCACTATGGTTGGGTTAGTATTTCAATCAGTAAATATACTCACATGAAGTTGTGCGATATGAATTTGGCCTTTTGTTATTTACTCAGTCATGTCTTGTTCACCAAGCAGCAATCAGAAAATGAAGACATATATATTCATTAAGAAAAATTGTGCTCATATATTGACCACAACACTATATCTACCTCATCCAGAATCTCCTCGGCCACGCGTTCGATCCTTAATATTCTACCAACAAACGGCACAAATTTCTTGTGCCACTCAAGTTCAAGCTTCTTGTCCAGCTCAAGCCCATCATCAATAAATATGGCGCTGATTCTAGCGGCTTTAAGGCACCTCTCAGTCACTGATTCCACTCCAGATCTGGACCGGTACTCTTGAACAGCATCCAATGATAAATCAGACCCGTAAAGCTCAGCAATCTCTCTCAGGCTTCTCTAATAGTATTTGAACAAAAAATCTCTTATCAACTCATCAATATAAATAGCCATCAACATAAAATCAACAATACAACAGTTGCAGGACTTGATTTCGAACATAAATATATAAACTATGATACTATGCAAACACGACAGCAGACTAAACTCTGTAACGCCTTCGCCAATAGAACTACAAAGGTGACCTGACAGCGTCTATAACACCATTGTCTGAGTCCAAATCAATGATTCACTATCATAACACATCGAGCTCAACGTTAACACATAGAAACACGCAGTCGCGATAGCCGATGAGCAGAAAAGCTTTTTCACCTTGAAATTAATGGTGTGAGGTGCGTAGGACAGGGCTTCGCCGGCGGCCTCCGAGAAGCAGCTGAGGAAGGGGAAGGTGGAGTCCGCCGCAACAATGTTGTGCGCGTGGGCGTCGACGAGCTCCGCCGTGTCAACCGCCGTTTTCAGCGCCGCGAATTTATCCATAATCGCTGTCTCTCCAGCTGCAGATTTGACTGAGAAAAATGTGCCGGTGGGGGACCGTGTGAGAAGATTATTTGAATATCCACTGGTCTAAGTCAAAGCCTATTGGCTTGTACCAAAAACAAAAAAAAAGCCTATTATTGGCAAATAAAGTAGTGAAATTAAATTAAGTAATAACTAAACCTGACATTTATTTTTATTGCAAACTAGTAATCACCCGTGCGATGCACGGGGATATTATTATCTAGAATGTTTTTAAAAAACAATTTTGTATGTAAATTGTGTTAAGCAGGCAATGATCATGATCATAATAATAGACATATAAACATATCATTAAATTGAAAAGATCATATATTATTGAACACTTCCCTATATACAACATTATTGGTTTGATTCGTTGGCACGTCATCTTCGCCACAAATTAAGATTTTCAAACCTTTTCGGGTAGTGACACGGGAAACAGCAACATATAACTGGCCATGACTGAACACTGGTTTCTTAAGAAATAAGCCAACATGGGATAAGGATTGTCCCTGACTCTTGTTTATAGTCATGGCGTAAGAAACCATAACGGGAAACTGTCGCCGCTGGAACTTGAAAGGAATTCGAACATCAGAAGGAGTTATGGCCATTCTTGGAATCAACACCTTATCACCAGCATGATCCCCTGTGAGTATCTTACACTCAAGAACGTGAGTCGATAGCTTTGTGACTACCAATCGTGTCCCATTACACAAACCCATAGAATGATCCATGTTCCGCAACAACATGACTGGAGTTCCAATCTTCAAATACAACTCATGGTTCGGTATTCCGGAACACTTGATACTATTCAAAAACTCAGGCGTATGGAGATCAGACAAAAAATCATTATTAGAATCCGATTTGCACGTACTGTCAGAGCTCAAGTACATACGACCATCGCACGAATTCAATGATGTCATGTACTGATTGATAGACTCGACCACATCCAA